AGGCACTGGTACAAAGAAGTAAAAAAAATACCGGGGTGTTGGAGGGAAGAAAATGGGAAAAAAGAGGCAAAGGAGGTAAGAAAAGAGGGAGGGGAGAAGGGGGAGGGGGCGGAGTTGGAAGGGAGGGAGGGGAGGGAGACGGAGGCGATTTTTCAAAGGAGTAGGAAAACACCGAGGTCGCCACGGGAGGACAATGGAGAAGGGAAAGAAGGGGAGGGAGAGATGTTAGGAATGATGAAAAAGTGGATGGAAGATTTTAAAGGAAAATGGGAAAAAATGGAGGAAAATATGGGTAATATAGTGAGTGAATTGGTGGAGATGAGGAGAAAGGAGGAGGATTGGAGAAAAGAGAGGGACAGATTAGAAAAAAGGGTAGGGGAGCTGGAGAAAAGGTGGGAGGAAGGGGTGGTAAGAAAGGGAGGGGGAAGGGAGATGGAGGAATTGGAAAAGAGGGTGGAAAGGCTGGAGTGTGGTGAAAGAGAGAAAGAGGTCGGAGGGGGTGAAGAGGAGAAAGGGGAGATGGAGGAGAGAGTTAAGAAGATAGAGAGGATGTGGGAAAGGAGGGAAAGGCAGGAAAGAAAAAGAAATATTATTATAAAAGGGTGGAAGGGAGAGGAGAAGGAAGTGGGAACGGTGGTAGGAGAAATCTTTAAGAAGATCGGGGCAGAGGTGGGGATAGAGGAGGTAAGGGTGGTGAAAACAGTAAGGGAGGAGTGGGGAGGATTAGCAGTAGTAAAATTAAAGTCAGAACAGGATAAAATAGTGGTAATGGAAAAGAAGAAAGAATTAAAAGGGGAAAAGATATGGATTGAGGAAGATCTAACGTGGAAGGAGAGGCAAGCGAGGTGGAAGTTAAGAGAGGAAGTGAATAAGATGGCAAGGGAAGGAGTGAGGGTGATGATGGGGGTGAATAAGGCATGGGTGGAGGGAGAATGGTGGTTCTGGGATGAAGAGGAGGGGGTACTAAGGAATAGAGCAGGAAGGAGGAAAGAGAAGTTGAGGACGGAAGAGTCGGGGGAAGGGG